CAAACGTTTTGAGACGTTTTTTGAAAAATTCTAACGGCTAGAAAAAAAAATATGGAATTTTTTGTATTTTTTTAATTAAAAATCCCAAAAATTATGAGTTAAAATTTCTAATTGGTTTTTCCTCGATATCTCCTGATCCGCGCGCTTTCGTGCGAGGCGCACAAAAGCAAAGTTCGTCCTCTCGTCGAGGCGAACGTTTTGAGATATTTTTTGAGAAATTTGAACGGCTCAAAAGCGAGATATGGAATTTTTTATTTTTTCTGATTAAAAATTCCAAAAAATTTTATTTGCGTTTTATTGAAATGGTCGGGAAAATAAGCGAAATTAGGGGAACCCCGCCAGACCAAAAAGGGTCCCTGTATTTTTCCCGACATTTTGAGACCCTAGTCGGGTAAAACGGACTTCGTTTGGACAAACGGCGAGCTCCAACAGATAGAAAAGGGGGAAGAAAATCAACGGAAAATTGATTTTTTTTGTAATTTTGTTTAAATTAAAAGAAAAAGAAATTTAAAAATGACATCCAATAAGTTTTTCTTCTAAAACTAGTGAAAGCTAACAAAAATTTTCTCGCGTCGAGCAGGGCTTTGCGGTGTTCGTGCGGTTGCGCTCAAAACCCAAAACCCTAATTAGGGTGAACTCCTAACCCCAATTTTGAGAGAAGCGGGTAGATAGAGGGAAGCCATAGCTTCTAGCTTCCGCATTTGTTACGGATTATTTTTTGTTAAATATATCCTGCAAGATTGTGGAAATTAATTCGGGAAGTTTTGCTCCATTAAATAATTAAGAATTATTTTACTTTTGATTTTGTTATTTAAAATCGATAAAAATTGAAATAAATATTAAAAATTGCGTAGGGGCATTTGTTTGACTTCAATGCTCTTCATATCTACTTTACCTATTTGAGGGACTTTTTTTCGAACACCATCCCACCGGGGGGAAGGAAAACTGCTGTCGAAATTTTTCGAAATTTCCCTTTTACTTAAAATTAGGTTAATTAATTAACAAAAATATTTAAAAATCGAGTTAAATTAATTTTCTTTTTTTTTCATTATTCCTTTTGATTTTCTCTCTTCGGCAGCGCTGTTTGAGGGCTTCGCCCGAACCCCATCCCAACGGGGGGAGGCGAAACGCTGCCGAAATTTTAGTAAATTTTCCAAATTTTATTTCTACTCCAAAAAATCATCAAACTCGTCGGGCTTATATATGTATTAATCCTTAACATATATAAACTAAGAAAGAAATTTTATCCTAACCAAATATATTTTTTTTAATTTATAATTGAAAAATACAAAAGAATTTCCTAGAAGAAGAAGGGAAGGAGACGCTGCGGTAACCTGGTTTCGGGTGAACCTACTAGCTTGTCCCCAAAGGGAGGAGGCAAGCGACGGAAATTTTCAGTTATTAATCTACACCTCCCTCTTGCTGCGTTCTCTCTAGCCGCCAGTTGAATGTGGCCGCGGGTGCAAGTAGAGGTCTATGGAGCTACCATTGACTGGGACTTGCAGCCCCCTCAACTCATAGAGGGGGATCTGGTGGAACTCACGATCCCCGGGCACAACATCCGACACGTTGACGGCCAGTTTGCGTGGAGGTCCATAATCTTGTCCAAGGATGTGTGGCTTTGGACGTACAGAGAGCACCGGTCGAGGCCAGGAGTGGGCGTAGTGAGAGCCTACTTGTATTTGGGACCGGGTGTGGTCACGGAGGCCGTGGTGGGCCTCACGACGACAGGGACTAGTGACGCAGTTAGCAGGGCGTTACGCTACCTAAGGGAAGAGGTAGCTGCCTTCCGAGCGGAGGACTCGAGCGACCCGTTGACGCTATTTCATGGACGCCCTCCTCTTGATATCACGGGCGAGCTGGTGGTAGCACGGGACGGGGTTTTCCCGTACAGCGTTAGAAGCCTGCGGGCGATAGTTCCGACGTTCGTAGTAGAGAGTGTCTTTGGAGGTATTGGTGGAGTGGTCGAGACATACCTGGCTTATCAGGGTCTCAAGATCCTGGCGAGAAGGCCTGCCGACCTAGACTATATCTATTATTCGCTCGCGACCGGTGGGCCTCGTTGGGGAGACGAGAGGGTTCAGCTTATAGAGCTGATCCGCTCGATAGACGACGAGTGACCCTAGTCTCCGTGCGTTTGGGATTGGCTAGACCGTGAGCTCCGAGCAGGCCCCGACTACGTGACCTGCATCGGGCGGCTCTTCTCAGACGACTGGGGGAGCTGGTGGAGTGAGGACGCCGGGCGACCTCTGATATACGGCCATCAGTTGACGAAATACTACCAGACTATAGGACAGGCGCCATACCGCGTCGAGGACGAGGTTGACGACGAGGGTTGGGAGCGAGAGGACGACGAGGACGACGAGGACGCCTGGGAGCTAGACTGGGTCGACCTAGAGAGTGAGGTTGACGAGGAGGAGATTGACGTTACAGACGTCCATTTTTCCAGGATAGGAGTAGCAGTCCGGACGTAGGAGGTAGAGGAGTACATTAGGGCGACGGTTGAGTGAGCTTAGCTACTGATCCTACTCGACCATACTGGACCTGAGTGCGAGAGTTGTCTGAAGGGTTAACAACGTCGAGAGATGGGGTGCATCGGAGGGAGTAGAGTGATGCTGACCGAGAGGAGGAGAAGAAATGAGGAGTGATTCAGCGGCCTGGTTAGCTTATGTTCTCTCACGAGAGTCCGAATCGTATAGTGTGAGGAAGTTTGTGGGACCCAGAGAGACGGCGGTTGGATATGATATACCACTTCCTATGGCGTTAGAAGAGGCAGGGCGTGTACCGATACGATACTTGGGAACGAGGCTCGCAGAGGGGCTCTTCCTATGGACAGTGATACTACGAGACGAATGACCCGAGAGGACTCATGATCTAGAAAGGGTCGGACATCTGATACCGGATAGAGCACACAATTTAGAGATAGGGCTAACGCTCGCAGGGGCGAGCAGGAGTTGGTGGAGAAGCGAGTTGTTGGCCAGAGTGATCGTTAATCAGCAATTGGCGAGACTCTCTGGAGGGAGGACGAGTTAGAGTTGCTTGGTATACGGTCCACGACATCCGACCCTCTACCCGAGAAAGGATTGGCGATTCGGACTTCCTACCTTCGTGATAGGGCAGACCTATGGGAGCGTGGATCGTTTGAGTAGAGCAGTGGACCACACATTTTACGCACTCTGGGAGGGCTTAGCGCCCCGCTTCAAGGAAGTATACTACGCCATTTGTGTGAGGTGGGGGTCGCCCAGTAGAGAGACGCTTGACGACATCATAGGTGTTACTAGCTGGGTGAACTGTCTGAGGCCTATCGACCTGACTAGGTACTGCAGGAGACGGGCAGAGATCGATTACGCGGRGCTAGAGGATGTGAGATTTCTCTTCGAGGCCRCARCTTAGGGAATGCCRGGAAGGACGACCACGGTGATGCGTGTAGAAGAGCAACTGGTAAGCACAGGATGCACTGTGACAGTACTTCTCCGAGCGTACGTAGACGAGGACTTGATAGCAAGTGAGTGCAGACAACGAGCTAGGGATTTGATCCACGAGCGTAGAGCTGATGTACTGGCACGAGTGACCTTCCAGACCTCGATTTCCTATGATGTGATGATATGGTCTCAAGGTTATATGCGCGGGGAGCACTACCACGATGAGACAGTAGCGGAGGCTAGAGCGAGGGTGAGAGGGTGAGCTGGGAAAAGATGTGGACTGAGAATGGAAGAGGAGAGTGAGGCAGTCGGAAGAGTGAGAAAGCGCGTTAAAGAACCACTCTTGAACAAGGTAAAGAAGTTGGGGAAAAAGTTAAGGGAGATCTGGTCGTGTCAGAACGAGGGTAAGTTGCGTAGGGCTGAACTCGTGACGAGAGAGTTAGAGAATCTGTTTATGGAGGAAAGAGAGATTATCCAGGCGTGGAGATCAGACTTTCTGGAGAGAGTAAAGGCTAGAAGCGTATCACGCGAAGAAACTAGTGAGCGATCTCCAGAGAGCGAGACAACGGAAGACAAAGTAACGCAGGGAAGTAGCGACAGGACATGAGCGGGACTGCTTTACACACGACGGATCGGTACTCATTACATGTGGTAGGGAGACTGGACGGACCATTAGTGTTAGTGATCATAGAACTCCAGCTCCATACCAGACTGTGCATAGTTGAGGAGGCAGACTGTGTCCGCCGTGCCCTGCGTGAGGCAAGAGGGACAGGACTTTGGATTGGAATAGAAGGAGGACGGAGGATAAAATACGTACTCCGAGTAACACCCTTTGAAGGGCGGTCGCGGATAAGGGCATGGTACGAGACGACCAGAGAGGCTGAGAGGTTGAAGATAAGCGAAGCCAGGAAAGCAGGAGAGTTAGGGAGAGTTGTAACAGACGGTGCCATACTCAGGGTGCTAGCTGCTCACAACCGGTACTGGAAGGAGTCGATAAAGATTTTAGAGGCCATAGAAGATAGTGGAGATGAGGAGGACTTTGAGACATTTCATGACATATTGGAGCGGTCGGCGATGAGGTTACAAGTGGTTATAGCACTAACTTACCTCAGCTGCTAGACAAGATAACCACGTAGCCGTCTGGGAGATAAGGGAGTGGAAATAGAAATTAGAAGCTCTTTGAAGGATAGAGGAAGCTAGAAAGGTCGATGGGCGACATTGGATGGCAGTAGGAGGGCCTTTAGCGGGCTAACCGATTCAGGACAGGGCTAGGAGAACTAGCAAGGAGGACGGAGAGAGACGCTCGGAGACTCTTGAGGGGTGTTGATCAGGAGACATTGGCTAGGTTTGGGACCGCAATCTGTCTCAAGGATAGAGGTCCTGTCACGGACGTACTGCGAATCCGGACAGGCACGGCCTTGTTGGCCGATCCCGAAGGAGAGGTTACTTAGGCACAGGGATTCTTGGGATAGAGAAAGAACACGAGATCTGCGACCGGTACGGGATACTGGAGGTGGTAATCAAGGCAGTCGAGAGCTAAGATTGGAGGCGGACGCGAGCCGTGACAAGGAAACGAGTCCGGGCTCCCGCAACTGTCACATGTCCGGGCTGCAGCGACTGTCATAGGGTCAGGCTGTAACAGTTGGCTAGAATACCCAACTGCATCTTCTGGCGGTCCAATGGAACCCGACACGATGGGGCCACAACCGACCACGGGAGAAGCGCGAGAGGAGTACAGGTCATCGCCTGATCGAGCACTGAGGGATCTGAAGGAACGGATTAGGCGACAAGCACCGCTGAGATGGGCGGACCAAACCAATGACGGAGGGTCCGACATAAGAGGTGAACCAGTTGCGACAGAGCCGCAGGAGGCTCTAAAGACGGGTACCTCGAGCGGACGACGAGAAGCGACGAGGCGACGCTCCCCCGAGTACGAGTGGAGGGACACCATAACGGACAAGTACAGAGACGACAAGAGAGAGAATTTGAGGGATTCCTATTGGAGGGACAGAGATAGAGACAGGGCGCCGCCCAGGCGAGTCTTCGACCCCCAGACAGGGGAGTCACATCCGCTCCCTTACGAGAGCAAGGATCGCTATATTATTACGCACAAGGYCTTAGAGCCTCCTACCTTCAGGGGCTATGGTATCACAGAATATCTGGAGAAGTGGGAGCTTCACGCCAGCCGGAGTCAGTGGTCGGAGGAAGAGATTATAGAGAACTTCCTATTTAATGTGGACCCAACTCTTGGTAGGGAAGTTAAGGAAGCTCGACCGAAGGATGGGAAATGGACTACGTACAAGAAGAACCTCGTTGAGCTTTACAAATTGGAGGATAAAATGTATTCCATCAAGGACCTTGAAACAATGACTCAAGATGAAGATGAGAGCGTACGGGGATTTGGGATGCGTTTCCAAAAGATCTCTGACGTGCTGATGAAGAAGGGGAAGATCTCAGAGGTCGAGCACTGTACTATCGTCATCGGACACTTGTCCAAAGGTAGGCAAAAGGGTATACTTAGAGATCTTCCGCGCGACAGGCTTGATTTCCCAGAAGTCCTAAAGCTCGCGATAAAGGCAGAGGCAGACGATTACAAGGACTTGGTGTGGAGAGGGATGAGGAGACGTGACTTTTCTTTCTATAAGGAGTATGTCACTGATAGATGTCCTGATTTCAAGGATTATCCCTGGTCGGAGAAGAATGAGGCCGTGGTTGAGGAAGTGAAGGAGATACGGGACATGGTGAAGGGATTAACGAGACAGGTTACAGAGATTGTAACCACTACAGGGGCCACGGCCTACAGGGACAAACCTGGGGAACCCTATTCACTTCGCTGGGACCGTCGGAACAACGATTCCTGGAGGAGTGTCGAGGATAGAAATCCTCGGACGCTGACTGATTATCGTTCGAGAGGAAGAGAGAGAGACTATGAGTCATGGCGACGTAGGGACGATGAGATAGACCGAGACCGCAGAGATCGTGAGCCGTTTGCACGAGCAAGGAGGCTGGATGATTACCCGCGAAGCCCTCGCTATGAGGCCGATCGGGGTAGAGGCGACTCCCGCGGCCGATGAAAGCCAGATCAGGGCCGACGAGATGGATATAGGGACGACAGATACGAGAGATCGGACCGGGATCGATATAGGGACGATAGATACGAGAGATCGGACCGAGACGGATATAGGGACGACAGATACGAGAGGTCGGGTCGAGATGGTTACAGAGGTGGTAGGTATGAAAGAGGAGATCGGACACTCGTCTGCACCCTCCTAACTACACACCACTTACGACCAAACTCGCCCAACAGACCGCATGTATGTACCGCATAAGGCAGAAGACAAGCACCAGGTGAGCGCAATCGTACCACAGCTCTGATACCAAATTGCAAGGAAGAGCAATAGCGAACTTCAACAATCAAACAACATCATACGTATGAGTCCAGATAGTCTTGACCTCGAACCAACAACAAAATTGCATCACAAGATTCACCAAATAAGAACACACCAAGAGTTCATAATAGACAATGTTGAAATAGTCTCATCATCATCAACGAAGAACCAGAGTTGATATCCTATCTGGCGCTCGACGCCCTGACTACATGTTACCTAGGCTATACTACGAAGCCGAAAGATGACGTCAACAGCATTCCCGAAGTACGAGCATATCGCGACCAATATCGCATGCTTCCAGCACCAGGTATGTCTCGCGCTACACTCACAACCTCGTTCCCCAACTCACAGATGCCACTAGTACCCAAGGACCACTCTGCGCCTCACCCAACTTACAGCAGCGCAGCTCGGCTATGGTTGCGTGCTTCTTCCCCGCTCGCCCGTGAGAGCGTAGGCGCCAGCCAGCAAATAGCGCAGCAGCAGCGCTTGCGCAGCATGCAGCCAGCACCCGAATGTCGAATGAAAGACAGACCCTCCCCTATATCGAAGTGGCCTGCCTTCGTCCACTCTCAGGAAGCTTCCAGTAGGCCCCGGTAGCCTGAGGCCTAGCAGGATGAGAGCAGGCCTTGGGGATGAGGTGGTTGCATGTGCCCAACTGCCTTCGCCCTGTGTTTGGCCCGGTACCCGTGTCCAGCCTAGGGCCTGCTTCACATTCATTCACACAGGCGGCCCAGGGTCTGGGTTCACTCAACCAACTGGCGTTGCGCAACTGCCTGAATTTCCCTGAGTTCCGTGGTGGCCAGAAAAGGGCCCTGAGGGCCTCGTCGAGCCTGCCTTCACTTAGGGCGGCCCAAGGGCTGCAAAAATGGGGCCTTATGGGGCTCATAGAGGCAATGGCCTCGCATTTGCATCGTACTTAAAACAAAAGAAAAAAAACACACAAAATTAAAAA